GAGGTAATCTCATCCAGCTGCTGCATCAGAAAGCATTGATACCTTGCCATCGTCACCTCGTAATTAGAAATTCTCAAGCCCAGACCCATCGCCGCATAAATTCGCCTCGCGATAAGGTCGATCTTTCTTCCTTCCTTGTCCCTAGGGGCCGAGTGCTCCCTATTGTCTCACCCCGGGATGATTCGACCACGATGGAGTTGGGCTTTGGGTGTCTTAAGAGGAAGCAAATGTCTTGCTCTCTGACTTAATACATGGACTCGTATCTCGGCAATGTCGATTGCGGTTGATCGGGAGAGGTCCATGTATCCTCCATAGCCACCCGCAGGGTTGTAATCAGTGGGATGGTGATTCTCGACGACTGTTCCTTCCGGACAATATCGTAGAAATTGTCCTTATTAACATTGGGCTGATGCTCAACCTCGATCTCCAAGGCCCTTGTCAGTCGACCCATAAGCTCACCAAAGGTAGCATAGGACTCTTCGGGCGACCCAGGTCCCTGGGTGGAAATGACTGCTGCAGGAGATGTAGAACAGTCATCCGAGTCCTCGCAGTCTGAGTCATATGGGTAAGGTGGGCCTGAGGATGAATGTGCCGGAGGAGGAGAATGGTGAGAGGTCATCAGCGCTGAAGTAGACGGGGCCTCTGCCCTTAATTGACGAGACCGACGGCCGTCATCCCTTGGCATGTAGTAGCCGTATAGGGGTGGTCCCCAGTACTGAGGCTGCGGTGCCTCCGGTCCTTTGTACAGCATCAGTACCCATGACCTGACGGATTGTCCCAGTGAGCGACGCTGCTGGCCGGGTTCAACCGCCGTAGTCCTCCTGGAAGCCTCCAGGGAGGATGGCATCAGGGTCAGCGAACAGGCCAGCTGATGGCACGGCAAGGACCTTGGGAGAGAGTCACATATCTCTCTGTCCGACATCGACCCATGAATGATCGGTTCGGGTGGATGTAACATAACCGGGTCCACAAGCTCAACTCTCTGTGGGGATCCCAGCGGCGTGACCTGCATCATCTCCCTCGGTGTCAGTGCCGAGGCTGTCAGGACCAATGGTGCCATCTGGACCAACAAGGCGGTTGAATATGAGTCTCTTCGTGGTTTCGGGGTGGGTCTACGTTTCTTAGTAGCCTTGTCCGACTTATCCTTTTTGGCCTTCTTCAGGACCAACAGATCCCTGTGGTCGGAATGCTTCCACTTCTCCTTCTGTTTGAGTAAGGAGTGGAAGGAACAAGAGGTCTCCACGGAAGCAACTCCCCCGGATGGTCGACGGGAGGTTACCATGGAAGGCGCAGCCGACATAGGCTGAGCGGCAAGCTTGTCAGAGGCTAGTAAGGCCTGATCCCAAAGGATCTTTCTCAGTCTGTTCTCTCGATTCTTCCTAGCCTGTTTGGTAAAGGCCAGGCACTGCCTACACTTGTCGGTGCAATGCCTTTCTCCTAGACAAAGGAGGCAGAGCTCGTGTTGGTCCACTGGGGACATTTAAGCCCCACATTTCGAACACGTTTGAAACGCTGCACGCTGAGCCATCGAGATGAGAAGGAAAACAATGAAGGTAAGAGGAAAAAGAGGAAAAATACTAACTATAATATATATATATAACAGTAAAGAAGAAATAAGTAACTGGGAAAACAAGGGAAAAGAATTTGGATTCAACGGGTAAAAACGATTCTAGAACAAACAAGTACAAGAAGACAAGGTAATGGCTCGAGCCAATGCGATCGGCGGTCGAAAGAAGACTGAGGAAAATGGCAGGCACTCTGCCTTATATAGCACCAGTGGGGAGGGGTGTGGAGTTCCCGCCAAAAACCGTTGCAGCTTGGGTATTCTGGCTGGCAACAGGCACTGCGCAGGCAACGTACCCATTATGTGTGATGCATAGAGACCACGAAGAAGAACCAAATGTAACAGAACCAGACAACAGCACCAAAATTATTAATAAAACAATGGTCAGTTAATAATAATGGTATACTTAATCTTTTAGTTAGAGTACCAATCAGGCCTGAGATGCGAAGGATGGAATCCAAAACTCCTAAGGTCTCAATTCAGCCCTGTGGGTTCTTTAGACTGCTATGCCCTTTTCCCCTTACCCAGGGGTCAGCAACCCGTGGCTCCGGAGTCGCACGTGGCTCTTGAACCCCTCTGCTATGGCTCCGTCACTCAAAACACCACCGGCACAGCCGCTGATATGCTCGAAGCTCCACTCAGGAACACAGTGCTAGTTGTAAATCAGCTAGTTAACTAAATCGCTACATTCCTTTGCTAAACAAGCTTCTTGCAGGCTCTCATGTTACAGGAAATGCTGCTGAAAAGATTCTCTTTGTCCCAGTGTAATCGCCTTCATCTGAATGTTAAAAGCTGTGCTTGGGACTTGTCACAATTCACATCACTTGACAGTTTATCTGCTGTTTAACATCTACATGAAACCGCTGGGAGATGTCATCAGGAGGTGTGGGCTACGGAATCATCAGTACGCTGATGATACCCAGCTCTACCTCTCATTTTCCACCAATCCAGGTGAAGCAGTGGCTGTGCTGAACCAGTGCCTGGCCGAGGTAATGGGCTGGATGAGGGCCAATAAACTGAAGCTCAATCCAGACAAGACGGAGGTCCTGTTGGTTGGCGGATTGGGCTTCGGTGAGGGTGAATTGAACCTAGTCCTGAATGGGGTTGCACTCCCTCTTAGGGACAAGATCTGCAGCTTGGGAGTGCTCCTCGACCAAGAGCTTTCACTGGAAGCTCAGGTGACAGCGGTGGCGAGGAGCGCGTTCTTTCAGCTTTGGCTGATCCATCAGCTGTGCCCCTAGCTGGAGTACAACTGCCTGGCGACAGTGACACATGCGTTGGTGACTTCCCGCCTTGACTTCTGTAACGCGCTCTACGTGGGGCTACCCTTGAGGACGGTCCGGATACTTCAATTGGTTCAAAATAGAGCTTCCAGGCTGCTGACGGGGACTGGGCATTATGTTCACATGACTCCAGTCCCCTGTCAGCTTCATTGGCTTCCCATTGAAGTCCAGGCCCAATTCAAGGTGTTGGTGATGACCTATAAAGCCCTAAACGGCTTGGGTCCTGGTTACCTGAAGGAGTGCTTACGTCCATATATGCCCGCCCGCCCCTTGAGATCAGCGGGAGAGGCCCTTCTCCGGGAACCTTCCCTGAAGGACATTAGGAGAGTAAGTACTCGGAGGAGGGCTTTCTCTGCGGTGGCACCCAATCTATGGAATGCACTCCCCAGAGAGGTCCGCCTGGCGCCCTCGTTATTTGTTTTTTGGTGCCAGGGGAAGACCTTTTTATTCAAATGTCATTTTAATTGTTAATGATATTTATTTATTTTATTTGTGGGCCAGGGCGACTTGTTTTATACTGTTAACTTGTTTTATATTGTTAATTTATAGTATTTTAATTGATTTATTTGTAAGCCACCCCGAGGCTTCGGCGAATGGGACGGCATAGAAATTTTCTAAATAAATAAATAAATAATCAGTCACTAAACCCACCTATTTCTGCAACAGGCGATTTACTGAGCTTTCCCCCCCCTCCAACCATGGATAAATCCAAAGAAAAGAAAAGTTTAATGGTACGTGGGTAGATTCATTTGCTTTTACTGCTGACAAACTTATGGAGTTTGCTGTTTAATGCATGCAGCCCTTTAGCACTGACTTTGACTCTGCAGGAAGCTGTTCTCCTATTCAAAATATATGAAAGGAATCCTACTAGTTTATAATGTAAGATTAAAAATAACAGTTTTTAAGTGACTGAACAAGAGCTGCAGCTAAATCATAATGAAGATATAGATCTACTTCTTTGTTTTAAGAAGATTCTTATAAAAATTCCAGCAACATTATTACATTGGGAGAGGGGTGTTTGTTCAATATTTCACCACGTGATAAAAGGATGAGGGCACACAGAAGCAGACAGCATTTTTGGTTTGCTGCAGGTGGCATGTTTGGTTTGCCGCTAGTGGGTAATATAAGTTCGGCTTTTTATTTCATAAATACGATGAGGACTCAGATAGACATTGAGTATTTTATTTGAAAGTAACTTTCAACCCACCGTCTTTTTTTCGGAGTTCAAAATGTTTTTGTTGCATGCAGAAATAAAAATTTGTTTTCTCTGTAGCAGTTCATTGATTTCATAAATGCAACACACTATAGTTTTTTTATACATAGCATAAAGGTAAAAAAACTATATATGCAGTGTTATCTTCATTTCAAGATGTCAAAATGGTTTTGCGGCTCCTGGTGTTTTCTTTTCTGTGGGAAATGGGTCCAAATGGCTCTTTGAGTGTTAAAGGTTGCTTACCCCTACCCCTACCACTAAACATATGAGTATCCATGCTTTTCTATGTCCTCCCTCCCACCAATATTCTAAAATTTTAAAATGCCTCTTCTAAGGCTTACTTATTCACAGCAAGTATCCAACATGCTTCCATTTTTAAAATTTCTTCTTGCCTAATTTTGCCTTCAGCCCTGCCCACCAGTGGGATGCTGCTCCCAAGAACTTTGCCAAAACAAAATTAGGCCCTTGGGCTGAAAGAGATTCAACACCCTTGCTTTAATAAACCCCTTAAATCCCTCCCTTCTTGGGTTTCATTATCACTCAGTTTATCATCTAATCTGCTTTCTTGCAATTATTCATTGGGTCTGAATGCTTTTGGGGATGAGCATATTCTGTTCTTTGAGGCTTATCAGGGTTTCCTCAATGAGGGAACAAGTAAGTAAGCTTTTCTCAAAGAGAACTTGCCTTTTGTTTGTGGCAAAAGCTTTTTGTTCCTTGGTGCACTGCAAGAAAGGATGCACTCTTAACTGATATAATTAAAAAAAGGATAAGTTGCCTGACCAACAATATATAGGAATTAAGAATTTGCTGGAAAGTTTGGGAATCCCTGGCTATACCAACAACCTAGCAGAACAGCCAGTGTTTGTTCTTCAAACCTTAATAAACTAAATTCAGCATTTGTTTTAATTGCTCAACACACCAAAGAAAGCAAACAGCTCACCCTTCAGCTGGATCCAATGCCAATGCCCGAGGACTGTCCAAATCTTTCCACACTAGAACTTGGCGATGCTGCCCATCTAACCTTGACACTTCAATGCGATTTGTTCCTGTATCAGCCCAATACAGGTTCTTCCCTAGCCAATCAACAGCCATGCCTTCTGGATAATCCAGGCCAAACTCAACCACATGTTCCAGGGCACTGCCATTCATGAATGCTCTGCTGATGGTCTTGTGGCCAAGGGAAGAGGAAAACAGTACATGTGAATATTCAGAAACTAGTATGATCTATTAGCACATTTAGCAAAACATCTCAAGTGGATTAATGCAACATTCCCTTTGATCAAGTTGCTTGCTCCCTGCATTGATCTATAAAACTAATACTGATCATTATATATATTTTATACATGGGATCTCACCCCAGCTTCATCTCAGAAGCATAATTACCTGCCAATTTAAAAGTAAGTTTTTTAAGCCAGTTTCAGAAAAAATGGGCATGTATCCCCTTTGTACTTGCAGGACAGTCCAACTTATCACCTTGAGGTCAACTGCTTTCTCTTTTGTCTAGTCAGTCAGGGCTCAGGCAGTAATGCCAATTGAGTAATATAAATGTTTCTGGGATTTTCCACACATGCAAAAAGTTTTTGTTCTTGTGTGCCATCAAGATATTTCCACGTATAGAGATCCCATGAATGAATGTCCTCAAATACACCCTGTCTTTGACAGCTGTGCTCAACCTTTGTAAACTTAGGGCTGTGACTTCCTTTACGGAATCAAGCCATTTTTTTCCTTCTGCCTTTGACCTTCCCTAGCATTATTGCCTTCCCCAGGGAATCTTGCCTTCTCTTGATTTTCCCAAAGTTTGACTGCTCCCGTTTTGTCACTTTTGCTCCCAGAGAAAGTTCTGACTTGATTTGATCAAGGACCCACTTGTTCATTTTTCTGTTGGTCTGGGTTATTCAACAAAGCTTTCTTCCAGCACCATGTTTTGAACACATCAATTTTCTTCCTGATAGATCAGGAATACAGTAGTGTGGATTATCTTGGCCTTGGTCTCCAGTGAAACATCTTACACTTGATTATCTTTTCTGATTCCTTCACTGCTGCTCTCCCAAGTCTCAGTCTTGTAATCCCTTGGCTGTAGTCTGTGCTGTGTTGATTGAGTCAAGATAAGAGATTCAACAACAACAACTGATTCTGAAGGCAGCAAGTATGCAGATTCTCCATCTTCAACTTCCAATTAGCCACCTGGTGATGTACATCTGGTCTACAAGCAACTGCCTGATGTATTTGCAATATACTGTTGTTAATTATAGGGTGGAATATATCAGGCAGTTCTGGTGTAGATGTAATCCCTTCCTTGGCAGAAGGGAGCTACAAAGGTATATGGGGCTGCCACACTCTGAGGGGAGTAGAGTAGCAGATGGATAGAGTCCTTCAGCACTGAACCAATCCCCTTTCCCTAAAAGAACCAACTTGGGCTGATTCTGAAACTGTCCAACCTGATAAAACTCCCTTCAACATCAATACAATAAAATCTCTGTACTGTATTTTAGGCCATGACTCTAATCACTCTATGATTACATTACCTTTAAAGAGATGTCTGTCCAATATATGCGATTGTCACTGACATCAAAATCCAGAGCAGAAGCTTCTTTAACTCCTGTTAGTGGAATGGCAACATTATTGTTGTTAGTTTCCAGAGAGATTCGCCTGATATCTGCTCTGCGGGAAAACAGCAGGAAAGCTTCTGGAACTATGCAAGTTTTCATGTCACTTATCAGTTCCAACCCAATGGGACAGGCACAACGCAAACCCTGAGGCCTGTACAGGCAAAGGTGACTGCAACCCCCATTGGACTCTGCACAGGGATTTGTACCTGAGGAAACATAAACAACATTAATTAAAATATTTCTCTGTTGTGAAGTGGCATCAACACAATTTTGGCCTCAAGAATTATTAGCTCTTCCTTCAATGCTTCCCAGAATTGCTACACTGAAGAGAACAGACATGATCTGCAAAGTCACATTAAACCTATATATCAGGACAAATAAATATATGGATATTTGGGGTGTCTTTGTTGAATTATAGCCATTTTTTTAACAATAGCATATATACTAACATGTATGTATGTATCCAGTGCTGTGGATTTTTTTCTTTTTCAAATTATTATTCAAATACTACATTCTTTTTCTTTCCTTTCTGCTTCCTTTCTTATGGTGTGGTTTGGTCATTTTTGTATTGCACAATTTTTAAAAAATTAAATGTATGTTCCTGGACTGGACAGCTTCAGATTGCAGGTGAAAATTGATTCCTAAGCACTTCTTTATATGATAACTGCAATGTTCCATTATGATTATGGTATAATACATTTTATAAAACTAGAGACAGCCACTGATGTGGTACTCAGTGGCTGAGTACTTAAAATTACTTATTTTTTCTTAAATAGTAGGAGTACTAAGATGACCCTTATACATATTTAAGATGTACTGAAATTAAATAAAAATAAATAAATCCAACTGAAATCCAATTATCAATTATATAGTGAGTTAGGAATATGCAAAAGTGTATCTCTTTTGTTTTGTCCCAACATTGTCCTGATACTTTACACATCTAACTCAATTTAAATATCACTGCTACTTTCACAAGAGAAAATGAATATACAAAAACTCCTTATATTCAGGCAGTTTACAAGCACTGGTAACAAAAGAAATAAAGTGGAGCCTTTGACACTATCAAGTTAGCTAAGTGCATTGGTGTGGGGAATAATTTTCCACTCAACCCTACTTACAAAATTTTGCACACCACTCCATACTTAGTAGTGCTACATAAAGCAAACAATAACTAAATACAGTCGTTCTATTTAGGCCTGAAAGATGTGCAAATAAGTTATTCTCTGTAGGTGGTTCATCTGACTTGCTGGGAAGAGTACTCATTCATTCTGGATAGGGTCATTATTTCCTTCTCAATAACTGAAGTCACACCTTGGGTCTCTAAAAACTGTCCCTGTCTTAGATGTGCCTAGGTAAAGATCTGTGTCAGGAAATGTCTTTCACTACAGATAAAAATGGTTCATCACCAGTATTTGGTCGAGTTTTCTTTTCTAATGATTAATAATCTGATAAAATCAGTGTTATGATTTTTTCTATGAAAAAATTGCTATTCATAATTATTTTATGTTACCTTTGTTCTCTTTCATTTGTTATTATTTCATAGAGAATACACACATATATTGCAGGTAAATATCCACTTAAAATATTCAAGACATGAACTAGAAACATGGCTCAATTTGATCAGCAACATGTACAATCAATGCCCACCACTTAAACAATACTTAATTCTGGCTGAACTGAGAAAGGCAGGTTACTCACCTGTTAACTGTTGTTCTTCGAGTGGCCATCTGTGCATTCACACATTATTGGAACTGCGCCTGTGCAGTGCCTGTTGCCGGGAAGATTAAACAGCTTTTAACAGTTTTGGCAGGAACTCTGCACCCTCCCAACTCCTAGTATAAAGGGGCGGAGTGCCCGCCATTTCCCCAGTCAGCTGGAGACCGTCCTTTCGTCCCCAAGTGGAGAGACTCAGAAATGAATTTGACTCATAGAGAAAAAATACTAGCAAGACAGATAAAGAATGGAAGTATACATATAATATGTATACCCAAGACAAAAACATATACACAATATATGTGCATACACATTATCATATTGGGAAAAACAGAGTAAATGAATAAGCTAAACAAATGCCCAGTCACCAACACCAAGTGGGGCCAGTGGGCGGGTTGTGTAAATGCACAGATGGCCACTCGAAGAACAACAGTTACAGGTGAGTAACCTGCCTTTCTTCATTGTGGCCTCTGTGCATCACACATTATGGGTGACTAGTAAGCTTACCACACTCAGAGGTGGGATGGTGTTGTCACTGGAGAACTGAAGTGAGGATAAAGGAGCAGTCCTGTCTGGCCCTGATGTCTAAGCTGTAGTGCCTTGCAAAGGTGGACGGGGTGGACCACGTAGCCGCTCTGCAGATGTCTTGTAGGGGAATCCATGCTGGGAGAGCTGAGAAAGAAGCAACAGCTCTGGTGGAATGTCCCCTTGGAGAACAAGGCAGGTCCAAGTTGGAAAGACGATAGGCTAGTTGAATTGTCTTTGAAAGTCTCTGAGAACTGACTGGGAGGCCCCTGTCATGTACAGAGCATTTGATGAAGAGTTGCTTAGACTTTCTGAATGATTTGGTCCAACATTGATAGAAAGCTAGGCATCGACGAACAAGTAGAGTATATACAGGAATCGTTTGATTGGTATCCATGGAGCCAGATAAAAGGCTGGCAGAACAATGTCTTGGTTCAGATGAAAAGAAGTTGCAACTTTAGGCAGGAAACATGGATTGGTGCGAAAAATGCCTTTTCCTTATGAAAATTAAGGTATGGAGGATCGATGCGGAGAGCACACAGTGCACTGGCTCTTCCAGCCAAAGTAACCGCTACTAAGAAGGCAGTTTTCCACAAGAGGAGATGAAGGTCAGTGTAGCCAGTGGCTCAAAAGGGGGTTTGATAAGAGCTTGAAGAACAACAGAGAGGCTCCAAGTTGGGACTACTGTTTGGGTTGGTGGGTGGAGATTTTGCAGATCCCGGAGAATTCAATGGACAAGATAATGAGAGAAAACAGTTGAGTCTCTGATGCATCCTCTAAAATGTGAGATAGCAGCAATGTACACCTCAACAGAGGATGGTTTAAGAACTCCTTGGTGAAGTGAGAGTAAAAAGTGTAGGATATTGTCAATATGGTGGCTGATTGAGAATGGAAATGATGTTAAGTAGCAAACGAAGTGGAGCGTTTCCATTTGGCACTATAGGAACGATGTGTGGCCGGTCATAGTGCAGACTGGAGAATAAACTGAATGTCAGGATGAAAATTCATCGGATTCAAGGAAGGCATAGGTACTGATGAAGGTGGAGGCAATACAGGTGCAGAGAAAGACAGTGCTGAGGACGTAGGCAGAGAGAATGACATCAAGCCCGAGGGCAAGAGATGAGATGAATCTGAGGAAAATGTCGGTCCCGAAGTAGAAGAGAGTGTCAATGGCCAAGCCAAGCTGTGAAGTTCAGGGACCGTAGATCTGGATGTTGAATGGCACTGTGTTGTTGAGTGAGAAGATGAGGAACTTGAGGTAAGTGGAAGAAATGGTTGCAAGATAGTTGGAGAAGAGTGGGAAACCAAGGCTGTCAGGGCCACCATGGAGTGACAAGAATTCTGCAAGCAGCATCCTGGTGAATCTTGACAATCATCTTTGCTATTAATGGTATTGGCAGGAAGGTGCAGAAGAGTTTGTTCTCCCACGATACCTTGAGGGCACCCCCCATCAAGTCCATTCCTATTCCCGCTCAGGAACAATACATTGGGCAGACAGTGTTGTTGCAGGTCGCAATCAAGCCTATGTCAGGTGTGCCCCAATACCGGAACAGGCAAAGGCAGATCTATTGATCCAGTTCCCACTCATGATTCGACGACATATATCTGCTCAGGGTATTGGCTTCTTTGTTGTCAGTACCCGCAAGATGTACAGCATGTAGAACTATTTTGTGCAAGACGTACTAGTTCCATATGTGAATGGTGAGATTCGCTAGCAGCATCGACGTCGTGCTTCCTTGTTTATACAGATAAAAAACAGTCATCATAATGTCAGACACAACGTGGATCATATGACCCTGGAAGATGGGTTGAAAGAAGCAGAGCACTTTGAAGACTGCTAGCAATTCGAGGAAATTGATGTGTCTGGTAGACTCGTGACTGTGCCAGGTGCCCTGGGTGAGAAGGGACATACAATGGGCCTCCCATTCAGTCAGGGAAATGTCGGCATAGATGGTAATCATCGGGTGAGACAGACGGAATAAGACTCCACAGAAAAGATTGGAATTGATCATCTACCAATATAGGGTGCAGAGAACTGTGCACAGGGGTCGGAGCACTAGGCTGGGTCGATCGCGGTCCAGGTGGAAAATGTGATTGAACCAAAGCTGTAAAGGTCTCATTTGCAATCTTGCGTCTGGAACCACCACCACCGTGGACGCCATATGTCCGAGTATTTGTTGAATGGAGTGTACAGAAGTGTCCTGACTTGTAATGATGTTCCGGATGGAGGAAATCAATCTCTCTTGTCGGTCCTGAGTTAGGAAGGCTTGAGTGCGTATCGAGTCCAGATGTGCTCTGATTAAGTCAATAACCTGAGAAGGAACAGGACAAGAGACAACAGGAACAAGACACGATTTTTCAGTATTAATGCATAGTCCCAAACTATCCAGGAGGGAGCAGGTTGTATGAATGGAGGCTAAGAGCTTGCCCTTAGAAGAGGAAACTACAAGCCAATTGTCCAAGAAAGGGTAAACGTGGATACTCTGAAGGCAAAGGTGGGCACAAATGGGAGCCATGCACTCTGTGGATATTTGTGGAGCAGTAGCAAGGGCGAAGGGGAGCACATTCTACCTGAAGATGTTGGAACTGACAGTGAATGGAAGGAGGCGCCTATGAGCAGGATGGATGGTAATATGAAAATAGGCATCCTTTTAGTCCAAGGATGCGAACCAATCTTCTCTCCTGAGCAATGGAGGAATGTTCTGAAGTGTAGTCTTTCAGAATTTTTTGGGTTTAATGAATTTATTGATGCCACGTAAGTCCAATACTGGGTGTAGTCCACCATCACACTTTGATATGGTAAAGTACTTAGGAGTAGAAACCATGCAGTCCTTCAAAGCAGCTAACTTGACGAACTGCACCCTTATGAAGCAACTGAGATACCTCATCCCGAAGTGTCGGGGAGGCTGCCGTATAATGGATTGCTCCAACTGGTAGAACAGTCTCAAACGCGATTTTGTATCTGTGCTCTACAATGGCAAGAACCCACTTCTCAGATGTGATGAACTCCCAGATGGGGAATTGACTTTGTAGTCAATTCCCAAAAGGAAGAGGGGAAGGTGGGTTGGAGGTAAGAGGAGAGGTTTGCACATGTCCTCAGTGAGGGGTTTGTCAGTGTCACGCCAGCGCCTGGGCTGTTGGAATCGAGGCGCATTCTGCCAACAGTTGCATTGCTGCCTTTGACCTTACTGCTGGCGCCCAAAAGGGTATGGTGGTTGGTAAGGCTGGTAGCAGCATTGAGATCTGCCCCAAGGCCATTTACATCTCTGTTGGGATGGAGTCTCCATACGTTGCACCGTAAGATGGGTCTTCTGGATGTTTTCCAGCTTGTCACCCGTTCTCACATTAAACAGGCTAAAACCGTTGAATGGCATGTTCCCTACACACTGCTTGGTTTCCTGAGGAAGATTCCCAGATATTAACCAGGCATGTCTGCGAAGTGTGATGGCACTGACGAGACCTTGAGAATCACAAACAACATGGTGTTTCACTGTGTTAAGTTGTTGCCAAGAGCTGCATCACCTCCCCGATGAATAGACGGGCCAGTTCTTTTTGTTGGTCCAGGAAGAATGCAGTGAGGGACTCAACCTTCTGCCAGAGAAAGAATTGATAACGGGCCACGGTGGCCTCATAGTTAAAGTTGTGAAGACCAAGTTCCATGGTGGCATAGATGCAGTGAGACAGCATGTCGATTTTCCCACCCTCTTTATCCACTGGAGTGGAATGCTTCTTATTTTGATGTTCCTGAGAAAATCTGATGACAATCGAATTCAGTTGCAGGTGTTTCAACAGGAAAGGGATATCCCGTTCCTGAACTTTGTACATCTCTTCAAGGAGTCTGGAGGTAGAATGAGGATGGTTAGGCAGCTTCCAGATATCAGTCATTGCCTGCTTGAGGGTAGTAATTAACGGCAGGGCAATAGATGAGGAGTCTTCCTTATGGACGATGTCAAAGATATTGTCCTGGCTCGGATCAATACATTGCTGAATGTCAATCTCCAGAGACTTGGACATGCGGGAGAGTAACTCAAAGAATGTTCCCTGAGAATCACCCGAAGACCCAGGGCCCTGGGTAGAGATGACCACATATGCAGATGTCAACACCTCTTTAGAATCGTCTGAGTCCAAATCCAAAATGTAGGGTGGACTAGAAGAGGAGTCTCCAGAAGACATAGAGGGGTCAGCGAGAGCTGCAGATGTCAAGAGTGCATCTCTCGACATGTTGTGGTGTAGAGTGGTGAAGACATGGTATCGGACGCAGGTAGTACCCTTACGGGGGATAGTAGTCCCATGGATAAGTTTGATCCAAGTGATCGGGATCGAATTCCCCATAAGGAAGGGGAACCCAATGCTGTGATGGCTGAGGAGCCGAAGGTGGAGACGGTAAGAACGAGGGGTGTTGAGGCACCCTTGGAGATCCCTCCGGAGATAAATGAACCGCAGGCATAGGTGTTGGAGGTCTAACAAGCAGGTCGAGTTCCGGTCAAGGAGAAGATTCACGGATCTCTCCATCGGACATAGAGCCTCTTACCGTGGCATCTGGACTGAAGTGAGGCTAAGTCGTAACCCTTGGAGGTGATGATGGAGGGGTCACCTGCATCAAGGACTGATGGCCCAAGGATTCAATCGGGACCAAGTTTGGGACCAAGGTCAGGATGGAGGTTGGCACCGAGCATGGCGGCTTGTCATGTTTCTTATGCCGATGCTCGGGCTTATCGTGCTTGTCCTTTTTGGATCGTTTGGACTTTGAGAAGTCATCAGATCCTATATGCTTCCTCTTCTCCTTCTGCTTAGAGGAGTGCTTTCCATCCTTGGCAATCGAACCACCTTCAGATGGTTTAGCGGATGAGGATTTAGATGGTCCCACAGCTGCAGAGGAGCTGACCTCAGCCGAGACCTGCTTCATGGCGACCAGGGCTTGGTCCCATAATATCTTGTGCAGCTTGTTCTCGTGGTTCTTCTGTGCCTGTCTTGTGAAAGACTGGCAATAGCCACACTTATCATTCCTGTGGCCTTCCTCAAGACAGAGGAGGCACAGGTCATGAGGATCAGTGGGGGCCATTTTAGCCCCACACTGGGAGCACTTATGAAAAGCCGCCCGCTGCAACATCGAGAGAATAAGAAGAGGACACAGTGGGCATATAACTGGAAGAAGAAGAGTAAAGAAGGCTTTTAAAATATATTTTTATAGTTTTGAAGGGGGAGGGGGAAGGGGGTTAGAAAAAGCAACAGAAAGTAATAAGAACGGGGTGAACTGGGACAGAATAACTGTATGCGAAAAAGCAGAATGAACACAAAAAGGAGTTCCTTAACCAGATCTAGCAGAACAGCAACAGCAAAAAGATCCCAAGGCACTGCAAACGGTGGTCGCAAGCAGACTGGGGAAAGGGCAGGCACTCCACCCCTTTATACTAGGAAGGGGGAGGGTGCGGAGTTCCCACCAAAACCTTTAAAAGCTGTTTAATCTTCTGGCGACAGGCACTGAGCAGGTGCAGCACCCATAATGTGTAATGCACAGAGACCACGATGAAGAACATTCATTTCTTCATGGATATATTCAAGTCTCAATCTCTCACTTCATGTCAGGAGTACTGAATTTGAACAGGCCTATAAGCCAAATCCAGCCTGCTTGAAATCTCCATCTGGTTCTTTGGGTTTCCCAGAGAACAGTGCTTCCTTCATCTGCTCCCCCCTTTTTCCACAACTGATGGTTTCCCAGCATTGTAGAACACTGAACACCATCTTTTAATGCTTGGTTATTGGCAGCAAACCTAAATGTGGCCCCCATGAGTGTCTCCAAAACTGAACTTGCTTCTAAGGTTGAAGTAGATTCAACACCTTGCTTTAAATGGTAACTAAAATATAGGGATACTTCTATTTGGATTTCTCTCTTTCCAACTTCTTAGAAAAACAGCCTCTGGCTTTATAATGTACAGTTCAGATTTTTAAGCCACTCACCAATTATCTGGTGGACATTTGTAGCCTTCAGACCCATGAGGTCAGGTAACTGGTCGATGATGATCTCCCTTTCTGCTGTCCGTTTATGGACTCGCTCAATGCTTCGCCTTTGCCAGTCTGTCCAATAAATATAGTCCCCCAATAGCGTGAAACCAAAAATGTGAGGCAACTTGTCCTCCACAAGGACTTTCCTACTTGTTCCATCGGTGTTCATGACCTTAATAGGTACAAAAACACACCATGAATACATGAGATGGGCTTCAGTGAAAGAATGCAACTTCTTTATCTACAAAAGCAGGTTACTTACCAGTAACTGTCATTCTTCAAATGTTCTTCTGTGTACTCATACATGTGGGCACTGCCACACAGTGCAAGGCCTGGGTCAGAGGGACACTCCCAAAACTAAGTGTCATGGAGTGGGCAGGAGCTCCCCTACCCTTCTGGGGCCTTGGATAAGAAGGCGGGGGGGGGGGCAGCTCCTGGCCACTTCCTCAGTTGTCTTGGAGACCACAATGCTTCCAGGTGGCCAAACAGGGGGTGCAAGGTAGGGAGAAGTGGGCATGACTATCTGATGACAATCAGCAGGGCAGAGGGCAGGTTGTGTGAATGCACAGATGACCACACAAGAACATTTACAGGTAAGCAACCTGCCTTTCTTCTTCATAGTCAATGTCCATCACACATGTGGGCAACTAGTAAGCCTATCCTTCAGGAGGAGCTGTCGTCATTGCAAGACAACTGAGAGGACTACCCATCCGAAACTGCATTCCTGTCTTGCATGTATGTTGAGCCTGTAGTGCTGGACAAAGGTTGATGATATGAACCACGTGGTGGCTTTGCAGATGTTGTGGAGAGGGATTCCAACCAGGGAAGCAGCACTTGTAGCCTGTGTTCACATGAAGTGTGCACAAGGGCATGTGGGAAGGCCAAGCCCTGCCATCTTGTAGGAAAGAGAGATGGTTCTGATATCCACTTGGAAAGTCTCTGGGGTGAGATGGCATTCCTCTTGGTCTGGCCATTGTAGCAGATGAAAAGACGGTTTGTGCAGTGGAGCTATTCTGTGTGCAATTTGTAGAAGGAAAGGGCTCTGCAGACGTTCAGACAGTGGAACAATGCCACTACAGTGAGTGGATGGGCTCAGGAAGAAGGCTGGGACAACAATGTCTGGGTTCATGTGGAAGATGGAGGTGACTGAGCCAGAACTGCAGGATTGTGCAGAGAACGACCTTGTCCTTGTGGAAGATGAGGTATGGGGCGTCGACCCTAAGACTGGTCAGTTCACTTGTGCACTAAGCTGAGGTGACCACAACAGGAAATGCTGTTAGGGTCATGAAGGGGAGGTCCTTGTGAATGTTGAGAAAATGGGAGTGTGGCCTCAATCAGGGTGGTGGGATTGTGGAGGAAGGCAGGAAGAAACATGTCCTGGTTGGAATGGAAAGGTCACCTTAGGAGCAGAGTGGGTCTGGGTGTAGGATGATCTTGTTCCTGTGCAATGTGGTAACGGGAACATTGATTTGAAGAGTAGCTAGTTCGCTAGCACGGTGGGCAGATGTGATGGCCACAAGGAACACAGTCTTCCAGCAGAGAAGGCAGAGGTCTAATGTAGCCATGGGTTAGAAGAGGCTCTTGATGAGGGATTATAGAACCACAGAGGGACTGCAAGAAGGAGTGCAGGCCTGGATTGGGGGGGTGGGGGAGGTGAGGTTGCAAAGGTCCCTGAGAAAGTGGTGTGCCAGGGGGTGTGCAAAGAGATCCCTGAGAAAGTGGTGTGCCAGGGGGTGTGCAAAGATATCCCTTGCATGGAGGGTGGAAGTGCGAAATGGCTGCTAGATGAACCCTTAGGAAAGAGAGGCTGGTGCCCGCAAGGAAGGAGGTCTGTATGTAGGCTAGGATGTGCTCAATGGTAACAGAAGAGGAGTTAAGGCCCTGGGTTCTAGTGGAAGTGACAAGGGCTTTTTTCACCAGATAGGACCTGCAGGTGGAGGACTTGAATGCAGCCTAGAGAATGTAGGTGACTGCTGGGGTAATGGAGCTGTAACGGTCTGTTAGATTGTGATCCTCCAAGCCGTCAGATAGAGGGTCCTGATATCAGGATATAGCACCCTGCCCCCTTCCTGGGACAGGAGGTTGTGCTGTAGAGGGAGCTGGAGGAATATATGCTTGGATAGGTGGAGGAGGAGCAGGAGGAGAAGGAGCCAAGGCTGTCTTGGCCACCAGGGGGTCATCAGAATGCAGCTAGTCATATTCCTCTGAGCCTTAGTCGCTACTGTGGTGATCAGGGCAAAGGAGGGAAGGCATAGAACAACACTCTTTCCCATTTCAGGATAAAGAGGTCTCCCATGGATCCCTTGACCTGTCCCACCCTGGAGCAGAAGAGATTGCATGTTTCATTCTGGGGGTGGTGAAGCAATCCACCTCAGGATGCCCCTGTTTCTCGCAGTGTTTGCTAAATATGCAGGCTTCCAGTTCCCACTCATGTGGAGTGGAGGAGGATTGACTCAGAGAATCCACCAGGGTGTTTAGGTGATCTGCAATGTCGAAGGCAGTGATAGTGATGCCCCTCTCAATGCACCAGTCCTAGATGGCAGATGTGAGGGCTGAAAGACGGGCAGAGTGGTAGAACCTCCTGCACCCACCTTTTTTGTTCAGATAGTACATGACAGTGGTGTTGTCTGTAGCCATCTGAATGTGGCACCCTCTCAAAATGCCCTGGAAGGAAGTGAGGACATCGCAAACTGCTAGCATTTCCAGCAGAGTGATGTGGAGACCAACCGCATCTGGCTCTCAGTAGCCCTGGGCACACATGTCTATGCAGTGAGAGTCCCAGCCTGTTTGAAGCATCTGTTGTGATGGTGGTGGAGGGCTATAGGAGGAAGAAGGGCATGCCGGTGGTGAGGTTGGTGGTGGTGCCCCACCAGCAGTGGTCAGGACTGCCACTGGAGTGGTGACAGGAGGGTGGTATGGGAATCTTCATCCACTGTGAAGGCTTCCATGAACCATACTTGGAGGGACCTCATATGAAGGCATGTGAGCTGGAGCACTGAGCCTGTGTCAGTCATGAGGCCCAGCAGCCTTTGGATGGTGCAATGGAGTGTGCTGTGATCCTGATGAACATGACCAATGAGATGAGAGTCTCTGCCTGTGGTTGTAGAAGGAAAGCCTTGGCATGGATAGAGTCCAGGCAAACCCCTATGAAGAGAATGGACTGTATGGGAGGAAAGAACAGATTTGGCATGGTTTGTGAGAAGTTCCAGGTCCTGCAGAAAGCAACAAGTGGTATGCAGCCTGCACAGGAGGTCCTCCCTAGAGGGGGCTGCTAGGAGCCAGTCATTCAAGTAGGGGATTATCTGGACGCCCTGGAGCCTATCAGCATAGAACACCACCACGTGTTCTGTGAAGATGCAGAGTGGGGAGCCTGGCCGAAAGGGAGGACAGAGAATTGGAAGTCTTCCTGACCTAATTGAAAGTGTAGGAAATGTCTGTGATTCAGATGAATAGTGACATGGAAGTAGGCATCCTTCAGGTCGATGGAGGTGAACCGGTTGAGTAGGGGAAGGATGTCTTGAAGTGTTACCATTCCGAATCTCTTGGGGGTGAAAAACTTGTGGACACCTCTTAGATCCAGGATTGACCTAGGCTTCCATCATGCTTAGGCTAAGTTATCTGGAGAAGAAGCCTTTGCGTGTCCCAAGTGGAGATGTGCTCCATTGCCCCTTTGGCTGGAAGGGCCTGAACTTCCACTGTGAGGGTGGGAGAGGGTGGCGTAGTTTTAACATGGCCTAGGGATGGAAGAACATCTTCCGGAAGAAATTCTATCCTGTATCCCTGTGGATGAAGGAGAGAACCTAAGAATCAAAAGTGATGTTCTGCCAAGCTGGGAGGATCTCAGCCAGGTAGAATGTGAAGTTGGGTGGTGGTGGTGGTGCTGGACTGGGGCTGCTTGGACCAGAGCATCAGTGCCTGTGCCTGGTGTCTTGACACTTAGGTGGAAGCTGTTGGCGGGGCTGAGAGTCCAGTTTTCTGTTGGCAGGTAGAACTCAAGGGCATGTGCCACACTCAGGAAAGCAGCAATGGTTGGGGGCTGCAGGACTTTCCTGCCACCTTCTTTGCTGTTCTGCCCAGGCCCCATACATTTGGCAGTGGCACATGCCTTGTGGGGGGAGTCCATATTTCCATCAGTACGGGCATTAAAAAATCCTTCCCTGCCAAAGGGCAGGTCCCCAGTGTGGGCCCTTGTCTATGGGGGGAGAAAGGCAGAGCAGAGCCATGTATGGTGGCACAGGGCTATGGCACTCGTCATAGTTTTGCTGTCGCAGTTGGCATGATGTCAAGCTGCCTCAAGGTAGAACCTGAAGATGTTTTCTTCTGTGTGAATAAGGTGGACAGCATCACGGAGGCAATCTGGTATTTCTGCCATAACTCCCATCTTTTCCCAGAGGAAAAGCTAGTACCAGGCTATAGTTGCCTCATACTTGGTGACCCGGAAGTCAAGGGCGGCAGGTGCGTAAACCTCCTTGACCATTGCATCCAAGTGGCATCCCTCCTTGTCCACAGGAGTGGGCTGATCCCTCTGAGGTGTTTCTTGCATAGACTCCACAATGATGGAGTAGGGTTTGGGGTGCTGGAGTAAGAAACATAATGCCTTGATAGTCAGCTTGTTAGGCAGAGTCAATCCTGTGTGAGGTGCCCAAGGGGCCAGCAGGGGCTTTCCAGGACAGCTGGGCTGCGAAGCAGCACAAGCAATGTGGTGATGGACAATGGAGCAGTATCCCCTGGGGCCAAGGCATCATCGAATGGATCAGCCTTGGGCTTGGATGGATGAGATGCCTGAATGCCTAGATCCTCAGCCATACAGAGGATAAGGTTGGAAAAAAGCACCCCCACTTCCAGGTGATAGGGAGGGGCCCTGATCTAGGGCCTGCACATACTGGGAATGAGCGGAGGGCGGGGACTGCACCAGGTCACAGGAAAGGCTCTGACTGGATACCTGGGAAGGAGAATGGTGATGGCGGCAGCTCCAGTGAGAGATCTGGTAAGCATGGTGAGGAGGCGCAGGGCTGTTAGAGTGATGGTGCTGGTGAGCGGGCCTGCTGTAGGCCTCCCCCATGAGGGTCCTGAGGCAGATTCCCTGCTGGGCCAGTGGTGTCGGGAGACCTGGTTCCAGCCATGTAGTCAGGTGTCACACGGTTTCCCGTTGTGGGGAAGCATGATGGCCGG